TTTTGGGATTTTTTCTCTTTGGGAATTTTGGGATTTAATTTTTTTTGGGATTTTTGGGGCTCTCACGTGGCTGATCCCAGGCACGGTGCTGCTGAGCAGGAGCAGGGAACCCCTCGGGATGGGGATTTTGGGCTGAAATCTCCCAGGATTTTGGGAATTTTGGGGTTTTTTCCCTTTGGGAATTTTGGAATTTCTATGTTTTTGGGATTTTTTGGGATTTTGGGGCTCTCACGTGGGTGATCCCAGGCACGGTGCTGCTGAGCAGGAGCAGGGTGCTGACGCTGACGCTCCGCACGTCGTCGCTCGTGGGATCCTCGGGATTTTCCTCTGGAATTCCGGGGGGCTGGGGGGAAAAACGGGGAGGAATTCCCCAAAAAAATCAAATTTTGGGGTTCAGGGGGATGAGGAAAAGTTGGGAAAAGGATGGGGAGATGTGGGAAAAATGGTGAGAAATGGTAAAAAATTGGGGGGGAATGGTGAAAATTTTGGAAAAAGTTGGCAGAAGGAGAGGGAAAATTGGGAAAAGGAGGGGAAATGGGGAAAGGGTGGGAAAAGAATGGGAAAATTGGGAAAGGGATGGGAAAAATTAGGGAAAGGGTGGGAAAAATGGGGAAATTTAAAAAAAAAGGGGAAAAATTAGGGAAAAAAGGGAGAAAAATTGGGGAAGGATGGGGAAATAATGAAAAAATGTGGTAACAGGAAAAAGAAGGGGAAAAGTTGGGAGAAGGATGGGAAAATAGGAAAAAAAGGGGAAAAATTAGGAAAAATGGGGAAAAATTGGGAGAAGGATGGAGAAAATTGGGAAAAGTTGGGAAAAATTAGGAAAAAATGGGGAAAATTAGGAAAAATTGGGGAAAATGAGGGAAAAGGGAGGGGAAATCTGGGAAAAGTTGGGAAAAATTGGGAAAAGATGGGGAAAATGGAGAAATATTGGGAAAAGGGAGGGGAAATCTGGGAAATGTTGGGAAAAGATTGGGAAAAATTAGGAAAAAATGGGGGTAAATTGGGAAAAGGGAGGGGAAATTTGGGGAAAGTTGGGAAAAATTGGGGAAAAAAAGCGAAATTTGGGAAAAGTTGGGAACAGGTTGGGAAAAATAGGAAAACAATGGGGGAAAATTAGGAAAAATTGGGAAAAAATGGGGGAAAATTAGGAAAAATGGGGGAAAATGAGGGAAAAGGGAGGGGAAATTTGGGGAAAGTTGGGAAAAGGTTGGGAAAAATGGGGGGAAATTGGGAAAAATGGGGAAAATTGGGAAAAGGCAGGCGAAATTTGGGAAAAGTTGGGAGAAGTTGGGAAAAATGGGGGGAAATTGGGAAAAATGGGGAAAATTGGGAAAAGGCAGGCGAAATTTGGGAAAAGTTGGGAGAAGTTGGGAAAAATGGGGGGAAATTGTAGAAAAATGGGGAAAATTGGGAAAAATGGGGGAAAATTGGGAAAAATGGGGGAAAATTGGGAAAAAATGGGAAAAATGAGAGAAAAGAGAGGGGAAATCTGGGAAAAGTTGGGAAACATTAGGAAAAGAGTAGGAAAATTTGGGAAAAGACTGGGAAAAATTAGGAAAAAAATGGGGGAAAATTAGGAAAAATGGGAAAAATTGGGAATAAATGGGGGAAAATGAGGGAAAAGGGAGGGGAAACTTGGGAAAAGTTGGGAAAAGGGTGGGAAAAGTTGGGAAATGGGTGGGAAAAGTTGGGAAAAGTTGGGAAAAGGGTGGGAAAGTTGGGCATTGTGACCTTGTCCGAGGGCAGGGCGCACTGGTGCACCAGGAACTCCAGCAGAGCCTCGGCCCCCGGCTGCTGCAGGTGCCCGTGGTGGGCCAGGGCACTGATCAGCTGCACCAGGGCACGCCTCACCTGGGGGAAAAATGGGGAAATGGGGAAAAATGAGGAAAAAATGGGGAAAAATGGGGAAAAAATGGGGAAAAATGGTGAAAAAATGGAGAAAAATGGTGAAAAAATGAGGGAAATATGGGGAAAAAATGGGGGAAATATGGGGAAAAGTGAGGAAAATATGGTGAAAAATGGGGAAAAAATGGGGAAAACATGGGGGGAAATGGGGAAAATATGGAGAGAAATGGTGGAAAAATGGAGAAAAATGGGGGGAAATGGTGAAAAATGGGAGAAATGGTGAAAAGATGGGAAAATGGGGAAAATGGGAGCAAGGGAGTGAGGAGCAGGGATCAGCTGCATCAGGGCACGCCTCAGCTGGGGGGAAAAATGGGGAAATGGGGAAAAAATGGGAGAAACCGTGAAAAAATGGGGAAAAATGGTGAAAAAATGGAGAGAAACAGTGAAAAAACTGAGAAAATATGGGGGAAAATGGAGAAAAACAGGGAAAATATGGGGGAAAATGGGGAAAAGAATGAGAAAATATGGGGAAAAAATAGGGGAAAACCGTGAAAACATGGGGAGAAATGGTGAAAAAATGGGGGAAAAAGGCGAAAAAACGGGGAAAATATGGGGGGAAATGGTGGAAAAATTGGGAAAAACAGGGAAAAAATGGGGGGAAAATGGAGAAAAAATGGGGGAAAAGTGGAAAAATGGGGGAAAATTGGGAAAAAATGGGGAAAAATGAGGAAAAAATGGGGAAAATGGGAGTGAGGAGTAGGGATCAGCTGCACCAGGGCACGCCTCAGCTGGGGAGGAAAAACAGAATTTTGGGGAAAAAAGGTGAAAAAATGGGTAGAAAGGGAGAAAAAAGGCGGAAAATATGGGGGAAAATGGGGACAAACCAGTGAAAAAATGGAGAAAAACGCTGAAAAATGGTCAAAAATGGGGGAAATATGGGGAAAAAACAGGGGAAAAGAGGGAGAGAAACAGGAAAAAAATTGGAATTCTAAGAGAAAATGGGGAAAATTGGGGGAAAATGGGAAAAAATGGGAAAAATGAAGAAATAAACGTTGGAAAAACAGGGGGAAATGAGGAAAAATTGAGAAAAAACAGGAAAAATTGAGAAAAAAATTGGGGGGGGAAATGGGGAAAATTAGGAATTCCAGGAAAAAAATGGGGAAAACCAGGAAAAATGGAGAAAAAGCCATTGGAAAGACAGGTGGAAAATGAGGAAAAATTGAGAAAAAACAGGGAAAAAATAGAGGAAAAAAAGGGGGAAATGGGGAAAAATGGGAAAGAGGGAAAAAATGGGGAAAAATGGTGAAAAAATGGAGAAAAATGGTGAAAAAATGAGGGAAATATGGGGAAAAAATGGGGGAAATATGGGGAAAAGTGAGGAAAATATGGTGAAAAATGGGGAAAAAATGGGGAAAACATGGGGAAAACATGGGGGGAAATGGGGAAAATATGGAGAGAAATGGTGGAAAAATGGAGAAAAATGGGGGGAAATGGTGAAAAATGGGAGAAATGGTGAAAAGATGGGAAAATGGGGAAAATGGGAGCAAGGGAGTGAGGAGCAGGGATCAGCTGCATCAGGGCACGCCTCAGCTGGGGGGAAAAATGGGGAAATGGGGAAAAAATGGGAGAAACCGTGAAAAAATGGGGAAAAATGGTGAAAAAATGGAGAGAAACAGTGAAAAAACTGAGAAAATATGGGGGAAAATGGAGAAAAACAGGGAAAATATGGGGGAAAATGGGGAAAAGAATGAGAAAATATGGGGAAAAAATAGGGCCCATTAAACCCCCACAAAAACCCCATTAAATCCCCCACAAAAACCCCAATAAATCCCATAAAAACCCCATTAAACCCCCGCAAAAACCACACTAAACCCCATATAAAACCCCATTAAAAAACCCATTAAAAACCCCAATAAACCCCCCAAAAAACCCCACAAAAACCCCAATAAATCCCATTAAAAACCCCATTAAACCCCCATATAAAACCCCATTAAACCCCCAATAAATCCCATTAAAAACCCCATTAAACCCCCATATAAAACCCCATTAAACCCCCAATAAATCCCATTAAAATCCCACAAAATTCCCATTAAAATCCCCGTAAAAATCCCCAATAAAAACCCCCAATAAACCCCATAAAAAACCCCATTAAACCCCAATAAACCCCCCACAAAACCCCCAATAAATCCCATTAAAAACCACAATAAAACCACAATAAAACCCCATAAAAACCCCAAACAGACCCCATAAAAAACACATTAAACCCCATTAAAATCCCATAAAATTCCCATTAAAACCCCAATAAAACCCCCATTAAACACCAATAAATCCCATGTAAAAGTCCCATAAAAACTCCAAGAAATCCCTATAACAAACCCCAATAAACCCCCAATGAATCCCATTAAAATCGCATAAAATTCCCCTTAAAAATCCCACTAAACCCCCAATAAAACCCCACTAAACCCCCAATAAAACCACATTAAAAAAACCCCAAGAAATCCCATTAAAAACCCCAAGAAATCCCATTAAAAACCCCAATATAACCCCATTACACCTCATTAAAAACCCCAATAAATCCCATACAAAACCACAATAAATCCCATTAAAATCCCATAAAATCCCCATAAAAACCCCAATAAACCCCACATAAATCCCATAAAATCCCCATAAAATCCCCATTAAAACCCCAATAAATCCCCAATAAAACCCCCATTAAACCCCCAATAAAACCACATTAAAAACCCCAATAAATCCCATTAAAAACCCCATTAAACCCCCAATAAACCCCCACAAAAACCCCAATAACTCCCATTAAAAACCCCACTAAACCCCAACAAATCCCATTAAAAACCCCACTAAACCTCATATAAAACCCCATTAAAACCACAATAAATCCCATTAAAAACCCCAATAAACCCCCACAAAACCCCCAATAAATCCCATGAAAAACCCCATTAAACCCCCAATAAATCCCATTAAAAACCCCACTAAACCCCCAATAAACCCCCACAAAAACCCCAATAAATCCCATGAAAAACCCCAATAAATCCCCACAAAAACCCCTATCCCATTAAAAACCCCAATAAACCCCCAATATATCCCTGTTAAAAACCCATTAAAATTCCATAAAATTCCCCAATAAATCCCCATTGAAACTCCCAATAAATACATATAAAACCCCAATAAAAACCCCGATAAAACCCCACAAAAACCCCGATAAAACCCCACAAAAACCCCAATAAAACCCCCCAAAAACCCCAATATATCCCATTAAAATCCCATAAAATTCCCCAAAAAATCCTATAAAAACCCCAATAAACCCCACAAAACCCCAATAAAACCCCACAAAAACCCCATAGAATTCCCCAAAAAATCCTATAAAACCCCATTAAAAACCCCACTAAAACCCCAATAAATCCCATTAAAACCCCCAATAAAACACCATAAAAACCCCAATAAAACCCCATAAAACCCCCAATAAATCCCATTAAAATCGCATAAAGTTCCCCAATAAATCCCCATTAAATCCCTACAAAAACCCCACTAAAACCCCCAATAAATCCCATTAAAATCGCATAAAGTTCCCCAATAAATCCCCATTAAATCCCTACAAAAACCCCACTACACAAAAACCCCAATAAATCCCATTAAAAACCCCACTAAACCCCCAATAAATCCCATTAAAACCCCCACAAAAACCCCAATAAATCCCATTAAAAACCCCATTAAACTCCCATTAAAAACCCCATTAAAACCCCCACTAAATCCCATATAAAACCCCATAAAAACCCCATAACAAACCCCACAAAAACCCCATTAAAACCCCCATAAATCCCCAATAAAACCCCATTACAAACCCCATAAAACCCCACTAAAAACCCCATAAATCCCCCATTACAAACCCCACAAAAACCCCCCAAGCCCATTAACCCCTGCGTGCCCGGCGCTCACGGTTGCTGTTGAGGAGGTGGCGCAGCAGCAGCAGCGCCCCCTGGCGGTGCCGCTCGGGGCCGCTCTCCAGGCGCGGCAGCAGCCACTGCACCAGGCGCTCCGGGAACGGACCCGCTGGGTTTGGGGCGAAAACGGGCGATTTTGGGAAAATCCTGCCATTCCGGGGGATCCGGCAGCTCGGCAGGGGGGGCGTGACGGGGTTTTGGGGAAATCAGGGAAAAAACGGGGAGTTTTGGGGAAAAAACAGCGATTTTCTGGGGAAATACGGGAGATTCCGGAGGGAAATTGGTGACATTTAGGGGAGAAAATGAAGGAGTTTTGCAGGAAATTTGTGGGATTTTGGGGAAAGATCGTGGGATTTTGGGAAAATATGGGGAGTATGGGGGAAGATAATGGGATTTTGGGGGGAAATCTGGGAATTTTGGGGGGGAAATGGAGGGATTTTGGGGAGAAATCAGGGAGTTTTGGGAGGTGGAGCCGCTCTGGGAAGGGACCCGCTGGGATTTTGGGGAAAAAACAGAGAATTTTGGGAAAATCCTGCATTTCTGGGCGGAAATCTGGGAGTTTGTGGAGGAAGTGACAGGATTTTGGGGAAATCAGGAAAAAAATTGAGGAGTTTTGGGGAAAAACCAGCGATTTTCTGGGGAAATACGTGAGATTGCGGAGGGAAATTGGTGACATTTTGGGGAGAAAAGGATGGAATTTTGTAGAGAATTTGTGGGATTTTGGGGGAAAATCATGGGATTTTGGGAAAATATGGGGAGCTTGGGGGAAGATAACGGGATTTTAGAGGGGAAATCTGGGAATTTTGGGGGGGAAATGGAGGGATTTTGGGGAGAAATCAGGGAGTTTTGGGAGTTGGAGCCACTCTGGGAAGAGACCCGCTGGGATTTTGGGGAAAGATCGTGGGATTTTGGGAAAATATGGGGAGTTTGGGGGAAGATAATGGGATTTTGGGGGAAATCTGGGAATTTTGGGGGGGAAATGGAGGGATTTTGGGGAGAAATCAGGGAGTTTTGGGAGGTGGAGCCGCTCTGGGAAGGGACCCGCTGGGATTTTGGGGCAAAAACAGAGAATTTTGGGAAAATCCAGGAATTCTGGGGGAATTCGGGATCTTGGGAGGGGGGAAAACCAGGGAGTTTTGGGGGAAATCAGGAAAAAAATTGGGGCGTTTTGGGAAAAAAGCAGCGATTTTCTGGGGAAATACGTGAGATTGCGGAGGGAAAAATGTGGAATTTTGGGGAGAAAAGGATGGAATTTTGTAGAGAATTTGTGGGATTTTGGGACAAAATAATGGGATTTTGGGAAAATATGGGGAGTTTGGGGGAAATCTGGGAATTTTGGGAAAAATCAAGGGATTGTGGAGGAAAATACGCGAGACTTTGGAGGAAAAAATGTGGAATTTTGGGGAGAAAAGGATGGAATTTTGCAGAAAATTTGGGGGATTTTGGGGGGAAATCACGGGATTTTGGGAAAATATGGGGAGTATGGGGGAAGATAATGGGATTTTGGGGGGAAATCTGGGAATTTTGGGGGGGAAATGGAGGGATTTTGGGGAGAAATCAGGGAGTTTTGGGAGGTGGAGCCGCTCTGGGAAGGGACACGCTGGGATTTTGGGGGAAAAACAGAGAATTTTGGGAAAATCCTGCATTTCTGTGCGGAAATCTGGGAGTTTGGGGAGGAAGTGACAGGATTTTGGGGAAATCAGGAAAAAAATTGAGGAGTTTTGGGGAAAAACCAGCGATTTTCTGGGGAAATACGTGAGATTGCGGAGGGAAATTGGTGACATTTTGGGGAGAAAAGGATGGAATTTTGTAGAGAATTTGTGGGATTTTGGGGGAAAATCATGGGATTTTGGGAAAATATGGGGAGCTTGGGGGAAGATAACGGGATTTTAGAGGGGAAATCTGGGAATTTTGGGGGGGAAATGGAGGGATTTTGGGGAGAAATCAGGGAGTTTTGGGAGTTGGAGCCACTCTGGGAAGAGACCCGCTGGGATTTTGGGGAAAGATCGTGGGATTTTGGGAAAATATGGGGAGTTTGGGGGAAGATAATGGGATTTTGGGGGAAATCTGGGAATTTTGGGGGGGAAATGGAGGGATTTTGGGGAGAAATCAGGGAGTTTTGGGAGGTGGAGCCGCTCTGGGAAGGGACACGCTGGGATTTTGGGGGAAAAACAGAGAATTTTGGGAAAATCCTGCATTTCTGTGCGGAAATCTGGGAGTTTGGGGAGGAAGTGACAGGATTTTGGGGAAATCAGGAAAAAAATTGAGGAGTTTTGGGGAAAAAGCAGCGATTTTCTGGGGAAATACGTGAGATTCCGGAGGGAAAAACGTGGAATTTTGGGGAGAAAAGGATGGAATTTTGTAGAGAATTTGTGGGATTTTGGGACAAAATAATGGGATTTTGGGAAAATATGGGGAGTTTGGGGGAAATCTGGGAATTTTGGGAAAAATCAAGGGATTGTGGAGGAAAATACGCGAGACTTTGGAGGAAAAAATGTGGAATTTTGGGGAGAAAAGGATGGAATTTTGCAGAAAATTTGGGGGATTTTGGGGGGAAATCACGGGATTTTGGGAAAATATGGGGAGTTTGGGGAAAATAATGGGAATTTTGGGGGGAAATTTTTGGACTTTTGGGAGAAAATCGTGGAATTTTGGGGAAAATAATGGAGTTTTTGGGGGGAGATTCAGGGAATTTTGGGGGGAAATATGGGGATTTCGGGGAAAATTGTGGAATTTTTTGGAAAATCAGGGAATTCTGGGGGAAATAATAGAATTTTGGGGGAAAATAAAGAATTTTGGGGAGAAGCTCAAGGAATTTTGGGGGGAAATCAGGGGATTTGGGGGACAATCTGTGAATTTCGTGAGAGAAATTAAAGGATTTTGGGCAAAAATTCAAGGATTTTGAGGGGAAATTGTGAAATTTTGGGGGAAAATCATACAATTTTGGGAAAATCCAGAAATTCTGGAGAGAAATAAATGGGACTCTGGGTGAAAATCAGGGAATTTTGGGGAAAATAATGGAAATTTGGGGGATATTTATGAATTTTTGGAAGGAAATTGTAAAATTTTGGGGGAAATCGTGGAATTTTGGGGAAATTTGGGAATTGATGGGGAAATAACAGAATTTTACGGGAAAATAATGCAATTTTGGACAGGGAATTTAGGGAATTTGGGGGGAAATTATGGAATTGGGGGAAAATCAGGGAATTTTGGTGGGAAATGTGGGAATTTGGGGGGAAAATGCAAGGAAATTCAGGGGAAAATCTAAAATGTTGGGAAAATTGTGAATTTTGGGGAAATAATGAAATTTTTGTGGGAAAATTCAGGGAATTCTAGGAGAAAACCCTGGGATGTTGGGGAAAATTGTGGAATTTTGAGGGAAAATCAGGAAATTCTTGGGGAAACAATGGAATTTTGGGGGAAAATAACGGAATTTTGGGGGAAAATAAGAGAATTTTGGGGAGGAACTCAGGGAATTTGAGGGGAAATGGTGGAATTTGGGGAATTTGGGGATTTCTCACCCAGGACGGAGAAGCAGCGCAGCAGCTCCGTGTGGTTCTTGCTGCTCGTGGGGATGTTGGGATCAGCTGGAGCACACATCTGGGGGGGAAAAACATGGAAAAATCATGGGAAAAACATGGAAAAATTCGGGAAAAATTGCCAGAAAAGTCCTGGAAAAATTTGGGAAAAGTCTGGGAAAAATCCCGGGAAAATTCAGAAAAAATTCAGGAAACATTGGGGAAAAAAGTCCTGGAAAAATGAAAGAAAAATTCGGGAAAAATCTGGGGCAAATCTTGGAAAAAAATGGGGAAAAATCCTGGAAAAATACCAGAAAAATTCAGGAAAAGTCCGGGAAAATCCTGGGAAAAATTGGAGAAAAATCCTGGAAAAATGCCAGAAAAATTTGGGAAAGATCTGGGGCAAATCCTGGGAAAATCCCAGGGAAAGCCTGGAAAAAATTGGGGGAAAATCCTGGAAAAATTTGGGAAAAGTCAGGGAAAAATCCCGGAAAAATCCCGGGAAAATTCAGAAAAAAATTCAGGAAAAATTAGGGAAAAAATCCTGGAAAAATACCAGAAAATTAAGGAAAGATCTGGGGAAAATCCTGGGAAAGCCTGGAAAAAACTGGGGAAAAAATCCTGGAAAAATACCTGAAAAATTCAGGAAAAGTCCAGGAAAATCCTGGGAAAATCCCAGAAAAATCCTGGGAAAGTCTGGAAAAACTGGGGAAAAATCCGGGAAAAATTCAGGAAAAGTCTGGGAAAAATCCTGGGAAAATCCTGGAAAAATCCTGGAAAAATTCAGGAAAAATCTCCGGAAAGCCTGGGAAAAATTCAGGGGAAATTACAGGGGAAATCCTGGAAAAGTCTGGGGGAAAGTGGAAAAAAAATCCCAGAAAAAAAAAAAAGAGAAAAAATCATGAAAAATTCCAGGAAAATCCCAGAGAAATCCTGGAAAAGTTGGGGGAAAATAGAGGGAAAATCCCAGAAAAAAAAAAAAGAGAAAAAATCATGAAAAATTCCAGGAAAATCCCAGAGAAATCCTGGAAAAGTTGGGGGAAAATACAGGGAAAATCCCAGAAAAATCCTGGGAAAGCCAGGGAAAAAATCTGGGAAAAGTTTGGGGAAAATCCTGGGAAAGCCTGAGAAAAATTTGTAAAAAATCTGGGAAAAATAGAGGGAAAAATAAGGGGAAAAGCCCAGAAAAAAATCTTGGGAAAATCCAAAAAACTCCAGGAGAAATGCAAAAAAATTCAGGGACATTCCTGGAAAAATCGAGGAAAATTCCCAAGGAAGTCCAGGAAAATACAGGGAAAATCTGGGAATTTCCCAGGGAAATCCTGGAAAAATCCTAGAAAAATTATGGAAAAATCCCAGAATAATCCTGGAAAAAATTCCAGAAAAATCCCAGGAAAAATCCCAGAAAATAAATCCAGACTTTTCCTGGGAAAATTCTGATAAAATCCTGAAAAAATCTGGGAAAAATCTCCGAAAAAATCCTTTAAAGACCTGAAAAAATCCTGGAAATTCCCCAAAAAACCCAGGAAAATTCCCAGAAAAATATAGGAAAAATCCAGGAAAATTCTGGAAAAATCCAGGAAAGAAATCCAATAAAAATCTGGGAATTTCCTGGAAGAATGCTGGGTGGTTTTGGGGGGATGCAGGGAAGTTGGGGGTGGGAATTGCTGACCTGGGCCAGCAGCGCCCCCAGCAGCGGCTCCAGGTGCGGCTCCAGCGCGCGGCTGCCCCGCGCCGCCCACGCCTCCAGCAGCTGGCACAGGCTCTGCAAACACGGGAAATATGGGGGAAATATGGGGGGAAATTGGGAAAAAAATTGGGGGAGATATGGGGGAAATTAGGGAAAAATTGGGGGAGATATGGGGGAAAATTAGGAAAAAAATTGGGGGAAATATGGGGGAAATATGGGGAAAATTGGGGGAAATACAGTGAAAAATTGGGAAAAAATAGGAGAAAATTTGGGGGAAATAGGGGGAAGTTGGGTGGAAGTTGGAGGAAAATGTGGGGGAAATAGGGCAAAATATGGGGAAAATTGGGGAAAGTATAAGAGGGGAAAAAAAAGGAAAAAAAGGGGGGGAAATAGGGGGGAAATATGGGGAAAATTGGGGGAAATACAGTGAAAAATTGGGAAAAAATAGGAGAAAATTTGGGGGAAATAGGGGGAAGTTGGGTGGAAGTTGGAGGAAAATGTGGGGGAAATAGGGCAAAATATGGGGAAAATTGGGGAAAGTATTGGGAAATAATTGGGAAAAAATTAGGAGAAAATTTGGGGGAGATATGGGGGAAAATATGGGGGAAATTAGGGGGAAATACGGGGAAATATTGGGGGAGAATATGGGGAAAATGTGGGGGAAATTGGGAAAAAAATAGGAGAAAATTTGGGAGAAATAAGGGGGAAATACGGGGAAAACTAGGGGAAAATTCGGGGAAAACTGGGGGAAAATTCAGGAAAAAATGGGGGAAAATTTGGGGATCATCCAGGACAAATCCAGGATAAATTTAGGAAAAAAATCCTGAAAAAATCCTGGGAAAAGCAGGGTTTGGGGGCAGGGGGGCACCTTGGAGATGGGGAAGGGCTCCGGGTGCCTCCTGTAGAGCCCCAGCACGGCGGGGGAAAAACTGGGGGAAAACTGGGGAGAATTGGGGGGAAATACCTGGAAAATTGGGGGAAAATTCAGGAAAAAATGGGGGAGAATTGGGGGGAAAATTGGGGGGAAATTCAGGAAAAAATGGGGAGAATTGGGGGGAAATTGGGGGGAAATAGGAGGAAAATGGGAGGAAAATTCAGGAAAAAATGGGGGAAAATTGGGGGATCATCCAGGAGAAATACAAGATAAATTTGGGGAAAAAATCCTGAAAAAATCCTGGGGAACTGCTGGGAAAAGCAGAGTTTGAGGCACCTTGGAGATGGGGAAGGGCTCCGGGTGCCTCCTGTAGAGCCCCAGCACGGCGGGGAAATGTGGGGAGAATTGGGGGGAGAATTGGGGGGAAATACCTGGAAAATTGGGGCAAAATTCAGGAAAAAATGGGGAGAATTGGGAGAAATTGGGGGGAAATTGGGGGGAAATAGGAGGAAAATGGGGGGGAAAATTCAGGAAAAATTGGGGGAAAATTCAGGAAAAAATGGAGGAAAATTCAGGAAAAAATGGGGGGAAGTTTGGGGATCATCCAGGACAAATCCAGGATAAATTTGGGGAAAAATCCTAGGGAACTCCTGGGGAACTGCTGGGAAAAGCAGAGTTTGAGGCACCTTGGAGATGGGGAAGGGCTCCGGGTGCTTCCTGTAGAGCCCCAGCACGGCGGGGAAATGTGGGGAGAATTGGGGGGAGAATTGGGGGGAAATACCTGGAAAATTGGGGCAAAATTCAGGAAAAAATGGGGAGAATTGGGAGAAATTGGGGGGAAATTGGGGGGAAATAGGAGGAAAATGGGGGGGAAAATTCAGGAAAAATTGGGGGAAAATTCAGGAAAAAATGGAGGAAAATTCAGGAAAAAATGGGGGGAAGTTTGGGGATCATCCAGGACAAATCCAGGATAAATTTGGGGAAAAATCCTAGGGAACTCCTGGGGAACTGCTGGGAAAAGCAGAGTTTGAGGCACCTTGGAGATGGGGAAGGGCTCCGGGTGCCTCCTGTAGAGCCCCAGCACGGCGGGGAAATGTGGGGAGAATTGGGGGGAGAATTGGGGGGAAATACCTGGAAAATTGGGGGGAAATTCAGGAAAAAATGGGGAGAATTGGGGGGAAATTGGGGGGAATTTGAGGAAAAAATGGGGAGAATTGGGGGGAAATTGGGGGGAAATAGGAGGAAAATGGGAGGAAAATTCAGGAAAAAATGGGGGAAAATTGGGGGATCATCCAGGAGAAATACAAGATAAATTTGGGGAAAAAATCCTGAAAAAATCCTGGGGAACTGCTGGGAAAAGCAGAGTTTGAGGCACCTTGGAGATGGGGAAGGGCTCCGGGTGCCTCCTGTAGAGCCCCAGCACGGCGGGGAAATGTGGGGAGAATTGGGGGGAGAATTGGGGGGAAATACCTGGAAAATTGGGGCAAAATTCAGGAAAAAATGGGGAGAATTGGGAGAAATTGGGGGGAAATTGGGGGGAAATAGGAGGAAAATGGGGGGGAAAATTCAGGAAAAATTGGGGGAAAATTCAGGAAAAAATGGAGGAAAATTCAGGAAAAAATGGGGGGAAGTTTGGGGATCATCCAGGACAAATCCAGGATAAATTTGGGGAAAAATCCTAGGGAACTCCTGGGGAACTGCTGGGAAAAGCAGAGTTTGAGGCACCTTGGAGATGGGGAAGGGCTCCGGGTGCTTCCTGTAGAGCCCCAGCACGGCGGGAAAAGGGGGGGGAGAAACTGGGGAGAATTGGGGGGAAACACCTGGGAAATTGGGGGGAAATTGAGGGAAATTGGGGGAACTTGAGGAAAAGCAGGGTTGGGGATCAGTGAAGCACCTTGGAGATGGGGAAGGGCTCCGGGTGCCTCCTGTAGAGCCCCAGCACGGCGGGGAAATGTGGGGGAGAAATTGGGGAAAATTGAGGAAAAGCAGGGTTGGGGATCAGTGAAGCACCTTGGAGATGGGGAAGGGCTCCGGGTGCCTCCTGTAGAGCCCCAGCACGGCGGGGAAATGTGGGGGAGAAATTGGGGAAAATTGAGGAAAAGCAGGGTTGGGGATCAGTGAAGCACCTTGGAGATGGGGAAGGGCTCCGGGTGCCTCCTGTAGAGCCCCAGCACGGCGGGCAGCAGCCTCGGGAGCTGCTCCTGCAGCTGCTCCGGGGCCAGCAGGGCGCTCATGGGGCCCAGCGCCTCCAGCACGGCCAGGCGCACCTGGGGGGGAGAGGGGGAAAGATGGGATATATTCGCTGATATATGGGGGAAATTCAGGGAAAACTGGGGGGAAATATGGGGATTCCTGATTGCAAATCCCAAACCAAACCCCATTTCCCATTTCCCAATCCCAAACACCAATCCCAAACTCAAACCCAAACCCCAATCCCAACCCCCAAACCCAAACCCAAACCACAAACATCAATCCCAAACTCAAACCTAAACCCCAATCCCAAACCCCAAACCCAAACCCAAACCACAAACACCAATCCCAAACTCAAACCTAAACCCCAAACTCAAACCCAAACCCAAACCCCAATCCCAAACCCCAAAATCAAACCCAAATCCTAAACTCAAATCCAAACACCTATCCCAATCCCAAACCCCAAACTCAAACCTAAACCCCAAACTCAAACCCAAACCCCAATCCCAAACCCCAAAATCAAACCCAAATCCAAATCCTAAACTCAAATCCAAACACCTATCCCAATCCCAAACCCCAAACTCAAACCTAAACCCCAAACTCAAAGCCAAACCCCAATCCCAAACCCGAAACTCAAACCCAAATCCAAATCCTAAACTCAAATCCAAACACCTATCCCAATCCCAAACCCCAAACTCAAACCTAAACCCCAAACTCAAAGCCAAACCCCAATCCCAAACCCGAAACTCAAACCCAAATCCAAAGCCTAAACTCAAATCCAAAAACCTATCACCCCAATCCCAAACCCCAAAATCAAACCCAAATCCAAATCCTAAACTCAAATCCAAACACCTATCCCAATCCCAAACCCCAAACTCAAACCTAAACCCCAAACTCAAAGCCAAACCCCAATCCCAAACCCGAAACTCAAACCCAAATCCAAATCCTAAACTCAAATCCAAACACCTATCCCAATCCCAAACACCAAACTCAAACCCAAACCCAAATCCTAAACTCAAATCCAAACACCTATCCCAATCCCAAACACCAAACTCAAACCCAAACCCAAATCCCAAACCCCAAACCCAAACCCAAATCCCAAACACCAATCCCAAAATCAAACTCAAACCCAAAGCCCAAACTCAAACCCAATTCCCAATCCCAAACACCAAACTCAAACTCAAATTCCAATCCCAAACTCAAACTCAAACCCAAACCCAACTCCCAGTCCCAAATCCCAAACCCCAAACCCCAAATCCCAAATCCCACCCTCCCATCCCGGCTCTGCGCCCACTGCAGGCTCAGGGTCTCGAAGGCGGCCCCATCCCAAACCCCAATAATCCCAACAATCCAAATAATCCCAAACTCAAACCTAAACCCCAAACTCAAACCCAAACCCCAATCCCAAACCCCAAAATCAAACCCAAATCCAAATCCTAAACTCAAATCCAAACACCTATCCCAATCCCAAACCCCAAACTCAAACCTAAACCCCAAACTCAAAGCCAAACCCCAATCCCAAACCCGAAACTCAAACCCAAATCCAAATCCTAAACTCAAATCCAAACACCTATCCCAATCCCAAACACCAAACTCAAACCCAAACCCAAATCCCAAACCCCAAACCCAAACCCAAATCCCAAACACCAATCCCAAAATCAAACTCAAACCCAAAGCCCAAACTCAAACCCAATTCCCAATCCCAAACACCAAACTCAAACTCAAATTCCAATCCCAAACTCAAACTCAAACCCAAACCCAACTCCCAGTCCCAAATCCCAAACCCCAATCCCAAACTCCAAACCCCAAATCCCCCCCTCCCATCCCGGCTCTGCGCCCACTGCAGGCTCAGGGTCTCGAAGGCGGCCCCAATCCCAAACCCCAGTAATCCCAACAATCCAAATAATCCCAAATCCCACCCTCCCATCCCGGCTCTGCGCCCACTGCAGGCTCAGAGTCTCAAAGGCGGCTCCATCCCAAACCCCAATAATCCCAATAATACCAGCAATCCCAATAATCCAAATAATCCCAATCCCAACAATCCCAGTAATCCCAGTAATCCCAGTCCCACCTGCCCCTCCCGGCTCTGGGCCCACTGCAGGCTCAGGGTCTCCAAGGCCGCCCCCATCCCAATAATCCCAACAATCCCAATAATCCCGATAATCCCAATAATCCCAATAATCCCACTTTTGCCTCCCGGCTCTGGGCCCACTGCAGGCTCAGGGTCTCGAAGGCGGCCCCAATCCCAATAATCCCAATAATCCAAATAATCCCAATAATCCCAATAATCCCACTTGCCCCTCCCGGCTCTGGGCCCACTGCAGGCTCAGGGTCTCCAAGGCCGCCCCCATCCCAATAATCCCAACAATCCCAATAATCCCAGTAATCCCACCTTTCCCTCCCGGCTCTGTGCCCACTGCAGGCTCAGAGTCTCAAAGGCGGCCCCAATCCCAACAATCCCAACAATCCCAATCCCAATCCCACCTTCCCCTCCCGGCTCTGGGCCCACTGCAGGCTCAGGGTCTCGAAGGCGGCTCCATCCCAATAATCCCAACAATCCCAATCCCAATCCCAATCCCACCTTCCCCTCCCGGCTCTGGGCCCACTGCAGGCTCAGAGTCTCGAAGGCGGCTCCCTCCCAATAATCCCACCTCCCCCTCCCGGCTCTGGGCCCACTGCAGGCTCAGAGTCTCGAAGGCGGCTCCCTCCCAATAATCCCACCTCCCCCTCCCGGCTCTGGGCCCACTGCAGGCTCAGAGTCTCGAAGGCGGCTCCCTCCCAATAATCCCACCTCCCCCTCCCGGCTCTGGGCCCACTGCAGGCTCAGAGTCTCGAAGGCGGCTCCCTCCCAATAATCCCACCTCCCCCTCCCGGCTCTGGGCCCACTGCAGGCTCAGGGTCTCGAAGGAGGCCCCCATCCCAATAATCCCAATAATCCAAATAATCCCAATAATCCAAATAATCCCAATAATCCAATTAAAAACCCCCGAAATTGTACACCTAAATCCCAAAATTTCCAGCCCTAAAATCCCAAATTCCAGCCCCAAATCCCAAAATTCCAACCCAACCGCCAAAATTTAAAAAAATCCTGAAATTCCAGCTCCAAATCCCAAAATTCAAACTTCAAATCCCAAAATTCCAAATCCAGGCCCAAAATTCCAGCCCCAAATCCCAAATTTCCAGCCCTAAAACCCAAGATTCCAGCGCCAAATTCAAAAATTCCAGATTGAAATCCCAAAATTCCAGCCCAAAATTCCAACCCAAATGCCAAAACTAAAAAAAAATTCCCAAAATTGCAGCCCCAAATCCCGAAATTCCAGTTTCAAATTGATTTTCCCAAACTAATTCCCGCATTTTCCTGGATTAATTCCCAGATTTTCCTGAATTAATTCCCAAATTAATTCCCAGATTAATCCCCACATTTTCCTGGATTAATTCCTGAATTAATTCCTGGATTTCCTAGAATTAATTCCCAAATTAATTCCCACATTAATTCCTGGATTTCCCCAGAATAATTCCCGAATTTTCCTGGATTTTCCCAGAATAATTCCCAGATTTCCCTGGATTAATTCCTGGATTTTCCCCAAATAATTCCCAGAATAACTTCCAGATTTTCCCAGAATAATTCCCACATTTCCCCAGATTAATTCCCAGATGTTTCTGGATTTTCACAGAACAATTTACCCATTTCAGAATAATTACAGAATAATTAACTCCCGCATTTTTCTCGGATTTTCCCTGATTGATTCCTGGATTTTGCCCAAATAACTCCTGGATTTCCCCAGAATAATTCCCAGAATAATTCCCACATTTCACCAGAATAATTCCCAGATTTCCCTGGATTAATTCCTGCATTTCCCAGATTCCCATATTTTCCCCAATTAATTCCCAGATCTTCCCACAATAATTCCCTCATTAATCCCCACATTTTCCCTCATTAATCCCCACATTTTCCCTGATTAATTCCCTCATTAATCCCCACATTTTCCCAGATTAATCCCCCCATCTTCCCGAATTAATTCCCAGATTTTCCCAAAATAATTCCCTCATTAATCCCCACATTTTCCCAGATTAATTCCCTCATTAATCCCCACATTTTCCCTGATTAATTCCCTCATTAATCCCCACATTTTCCCAGATTAATCCCCCCATCTTCCCGAATTAATTCCCAGATTTTCCCAGAATAATTCCTGGAATAATCCCCACATTTTCCCTGATTAATCCCCACATTTTCCCTGATTAATTCCCAGATTTTCCCAGAATAATTCCTTAGTTAATTCCCATCTTTTTCCTGATCAATCCCCACATTTTCCCTGATTAATTCCCACATGTTGCTAGAATAATTCCCTAGTTAATTCCCACATTTTTCAGGATTAATTTCTGCACATTCCCTCATTAATCCCCACATTTCCCTCATTAATCCCCACATTTTCCCTCATTAATCCCCTGATTAATCCCCACATTTTCCCTCATTAATCCCCTGATTAATCCCCACATTTTCCCTCATTAATCCATCAATCCCCAGGTTTTCCCAGATCAATCCCCAGGTTTTCCCAGATCAATCCCCACATTTTCTCTGATCAATTCCCCCATTTCGTGGATCATTCCCCACGTTTTTGCGGATCAATTCCCACGTTTTCCTAGATCTATCCCCAGGTTTTCCTGGATCAATCCCCAGGTTTTCCCAGATGAGTCCTCACATTTTCCCAGATCAATCCCTGCATTTTCCCAGATTAACCAGCAGGTTTTCCCGGATCAATCCCGGTATTTTCCCCGATCAGTCCCGGTATTTTCCCAGATCAATCCCTGCATTTTCCCAGATTAACCAGCAGGTTTTCCCAGATCAATCCCCCCCATTTTCCCGGCTCAATCCCGGTATTTTCCCGGATCAATCCCGGTATTTTCCCCGATCAGTCCCGGTATTTTCCCAGATCAATCCCTGCATTTTCCCAGATTAACCAGCAGGTTTTCCCAGATCAATCCCCCGTATTTTCCCGGATCAGTCCTGGTATTTTCCCGGATCAATCCCGGTATTTTCCCTGATCAATCCCGGTATTTTCCCGGCTCAATCCCCCCATTTTCCCAGATCAATCCCAGTATTTTCCCTGATCAATCCCGGCATTTTCCCGGCTCAATCCTGGTATTTTCCCGGATCAATCCCCACATTTTCCCAGATCAATCCCCACATTTTCCCGGCTCGATCCCGGTATTTTCCCTGATCAATCGCAGTATTTTCCCAGATCAATCCCGGCATTTTCCCGGATCAATCCCCACATTTTCCCAGATCAATCCCCACATTTTCCCGGCTCGATCCCGGTATTTTCCCGGCTCAATCCCGGTATTTTCCCTGATCAATCCCGGTATTTTCCCAGCTCAATCCCGGTATTTTCCCGGATCAATCCCGGTATTTTCGCGGATCAATCCCGGCATTTTCCTGGCTCGATCCCGGCATTTTCCCGGCTCAATCCCGGCATTTTCTGGGGAAATTCACAGAAAAGTCGGGGGAAAATCAGGGAAAATTCGGGGAAAATTTGGAAAAAAATCAGGGAAAATTTTGGAAAAATTTGGGGGAAATCCGGGGAAAATTTGGGGAAAAACTGGGGAAAATTCTGGGGAAATTTGAGGGAAATCCGGGGAAAATCCGGGGAAATTCCAGGGAAAATCAGGGAAAATTCGCGGAAAAATCGGGGGAAATTCACAGAAAAGTCGGGGGAAACTCAGGGAAAATTCGGGGAAAATTTAAGGAAAAATCTAGGAAAATTCAGGGAAAATTCAGTGAAAATCCAGGGAAAAATCCAGGGAAATTCCGGGAAGATTCAGGGAAAATTTGGGGAAAATCTGGGGAAACTCCAGGGAAAATTCAGGGAGAATCCAGGGAAAATTCGGGGGAAATTCAGGGGAAATTCAGGAAAATTCAGAGAAAATTCAGGGAAAAAGCGGGGAAAATTTGGGGGAAATTTAGGGAAAATTCAGGGAAAATTTGGGGAAAATTCGGGGGAAATTCGGGGAAAAATCGGGGAAAATTTGGGGAAAATTCAGGAAAATTCTGGGGAAATTCAGGGAAAATTTGGGGAAAATTTGAGGGAAAGCTCTGGGAAAATTCGGGGAAAATTTGAGAGAAATACGGGGAAAATTTGAGGGAAAAGTCTGGGAAAATTCTGGGAAAACTTGGGAAAATTGGGGGAAAAATCGGGGAAAATCCAGGGAAATTACAGGGAAATTCAGGGAAAAGTCGGGGAAAATTCAGGGAAAAGTCGGGGAAAATTCGGGGAATATCTGGGAAAAAATTCGGGGACAAGTCGGGGGAAATTTGGGGAAAATTCAGGGAAAATTTGAGGGAAATACAGGGAAAATTCGGGGGAAAATCCGGCGAAAATTCGGGGACAAGTCGGGGGAAATTTGGGGAAAAATCGGGGAAAATTTGGGGACAAGTCACGGAAAATTCAGGGAAAATAAGGGAAAATTCAGGGAAAAATTGGGGGAAATTCACTGAAAAATCAGGGGAAACTAGGGGAAAATTTGGGGAAAATTCTGGGGAAATTTGAGGGAAAATCCAGGAAAATTCGGGGAAAATTCAGCAAAAATCCGGGGGAAAATTTCGGGAAAATCTGGGGAAATTCCAGGGAAAATTTGGGGAAAATCCGGGGAGAATCCAGGGAAAAATTGGGGGAAATACGGGGAAAATTTGAGGGAAATACGGGGAAAATTCGGGGAAAAGTCTGGGAAAATTCAGGGGAAATTTGGGGAAAAATCGGGGAAAATTCAGGGAAAATTTGAGGGAAATACGGGGAAATTCAGTGAAAAGTCGGGGAAAATTTGGGGAATATCTGGGAAAAAATTTATGAAAATTTGGGGAAAATTCAGGGGAAATTCAGGGGAAATTCGGGGAAAAGTCAGGGAAAATTCAGGGGAAATCTGGAGAAAATTCGGGGAAAATTGGAGGGAAATATGGGGAAAATTCGGGGAAAACATGGGAAACATATGGGAAAATACGGGGGAAATACGGGGAAAAATCCAGGGAAATCGCGGGAAAAATCGGGAAAGTTTGGGGAAAAAACTGGGGAAAATAATGGAAAAATGCCATGAAAAAACCACAAAAATTGCAGGCAAAATCCCAGAAAATTTGGGGAAAATTCTGGGAAAAATCAGGAAAAATTCAGGGAAAAATCAAGAAAAAATCTGGGAAAATTCGAGGAAAATTCAGGGAAAATTCAGGGAAAATCCGGGGAAAATTCAGGAACATTCTGGGAAAAATCCCAGGAAAAAAGACAAAAACTCCACTAAAAACTCCATAAAATTTGGGGGAAAGTCGGGAAAATTCAGGAAAAATTCCGGGACAAGTCGGGGAAAAATTGGGGAAAATTTGGGGACAAGTAGAGGAAAACTTGGGGAAAATTCGGGGAAAATTTGGGGAAAATTTGGGAAACAATTTGAGAAAATTCAGGGAAAATTGAGGGAAAATTTGGAAAAAAATTGGGGAAAATTCAGGAAAAACTTGGGAAAAATTTTAGGAAAATTTGATAAAAATCAGGGAAAATTAGGGGAAAAATCAGGGAAAATTCAGGGACAAGTCAGGAAAAATTTGGGTAAAATTTTTGGAAAATTCGGGGAAAATTTGGGGAACATTCAGGGAAAATTTGGAAAAATATCAGGGAAAATTCCAGGGAAATTCAGGGAAAATTTGGGGAAAATTTTAGGAAAATTCTGGGAAAATACTGGGAAAAATAATGGAAAAATCCCATTAAAAAAACTACAAAAATTGCAGGAAAAATCCCAGAAAAGTCAGGGAAAATTCGGGAAAATTCTGGGAAAATTCAGATAAAATTTGGGGAAAATTCCAGAAAAATCTGGGAAAATTCCGGAAATATCCCAGGAAAATTCCAGGAAAAAACCCCAAAAATTCTGGAAAAACTGCAGG